GCCGCTGGACCAAGCGCATCACGGGCCTGGCCATCAGCGACCTGCGCGTGGAGGACAGCGGGACCTACATCTGCGAGGTGACCAACACCTTCGGGTCCGCAGAGGTGACGGGGACCCTCACGGTCATAGGTGAGAGCCGCGGCGGTGGTGGTGGGGAGACCTCTGTCCTGCTGCCTTCTTAATATAAAGCCTTTACAAATATAGAGCCTTAGAGGTTTTATAAATGATAAACTTTGTGTTTTGGTGTGGGTATCGCATACTCCAAGCCATGGTCTTGTGTGTCCGCTATGCAGGGGGTTTATCACGCCGCAGCGGCGCATCTCTGACTTCTGATGTACCACTTAGGTCGGGGCAGGGAGAGGGGCTTCAGAAAAACACAGGGTAACACCGGGGGGTGTAAACTGTTGGATGGCAATGCTGGGTTTACGTTAGGTGCCTCTGCACTTTGTTTTGGTGATTTACCTAAAATAAGCTCCGGGCAAACAGTAAATACCCAGGCCAAGCATCTATTGCGTGCTTTGTGGCTGGGAGTTCCTCCTGCCACCAGAACCCCAGCGGTTCTGGAGCTGGCATTAAAAGCAGGGAGGACGGTGGTGGGGACATTGTGCGGTGACATTTTACGCCTAGTCGGGCTGGTGCTTCCAGGGCAGGAAAGGCAGAGCATGCAGGAACGATGAGATGATGCCCAGCACCACCAACGCCTCACCCGCTCTCACCCTTTCTCGCACAGACCCTCTCCGTGTGACCCTCACACCAAAGAAGCTCAAAACGGGCATCGGCAGCACCGTCATCCTCTCCTGCGCCCTCAGCGGCTCCCCCGAGTACGTCATCCGCTGGTACCGCAACACGGACCTGGTGGCGGTGGACGACTACATCTCCATCCGGGGCATCAGCAACGAGACCCTCCTCATCACGGCCGCGCAGAAGAGCCACTCTGGCGCCTACCAGTGCTTCGCCACCCGCAAGTCCCAGACGGCACAGGACTTCTCCATCATCACGCTGGAGGGTGAGCCACCTGCCTCGGGGCATTGCTCTGGTTGTCTCTGGGGTGTGCCGGGTTGTTTTGTGCAGTGAGACTTTCGGGGTGGGGGTCCTGGGCCACACTGCTCCCACCCCATTACCTGGGCTGTGTGCGCTGTCAGGGATGCTGCAGCAAGGCCAGGACAGGGGCAGGGACCTAAATAAGAGTTGAATTTCCCATCCCCAGCTCCTAGGCCGAAACACTTTCGCCTTTCACCAGGTCCCTCCTTGTGAGCAGGTGTAGGTGTAGATTAGGGGGTGTTTGAGCAAGGGATGGGCACCCCGAGCCTGGTATCCCCTTGAACCAATGTCTGTAACACCCAGCACATCCCCTCTCAGCATCTCCCCTCTCAGCATCTCCCCACCGTAGAGATGCTGCCACGGCCAGGGCCCCCACCCCAGCCAGGAGCTCAGAGCTGCGGGGGGCCGCCGCCGGC